GCTATGTATATCAGAAAACTAAATACAGTAAAGCCGCTAACCCGTCTCAGGAAATCTGTCAACCGTACCCCCTTTTCATTCTTTCTTTCTTTCTTTATCCTCATCATCTTTCCTTCTCTCTTCTTCCTTCTTTCCCTCCCTTCAAGGGCCAAACCAAATGAAACGGCGATAAAATGAACTCTGGCAGCGTACCAATTCTGGTTGACATATTACAAATCCATTCCCTACCCCTAGATTGAAATTCAGCGCGAATTACGCTCCCTTGTATTCAAATTCGACTGGCTAATATTCTTGAACGGTTGTTTAGATTGCTTACGATAGCTTTATTGGATGTAAGTCGAATAAAAGAATTGTGCATAGTCGTATTCGTTGCGGATGCTGGAGCGTGCCAAGGAACCAAATTCGGCACGTCGCTAGCCTTTCTCCACCCGTTGTGGAAGCGGATAAGCGACAGCAATTGGTGAAAAGCGGCTTATACGAACGATATGGTAAACTTACCATTTGCCGAAAGAATAAAAGAAACGGGCTGGCGATGCGCCAAACCCATCCTCCCTTGACGGGCCCATCATCCGCAGCGAGCAAGGCTGTGAATATTACATATTGCGTTCCATTTAGCGGTAACAATCCTGCAATATCTTGCATCCTCAGCCCAGTTTCGTCCCACAGCGCTGTTTCAGTCCTTAGTTTGCCTCGCGAACACTTCCCATTTGCGATTTCTTGAGCAAAGGTAGAACTAGTGCTCACTGTGGCATTATTACAGGATCAGGTAAACGGAAGGATTACTTATCATGGGAGAACTATTTCATGGCGATTGCAAAGCTGGCTGCAATGAGAAGTAAGGATCCTTCCACGCAGGTACGTCTTTTCGAACGATAAAATTTCTCATTGCAAATTTACTGTGGGGATCCATGTGCAAATAGAAGTAATGTTACCCAATTTAATGACAACCGCTCAATTTACAGGTGAAATGCTAAGTGCGTACATTTTTCGGAGATTTTCAGGTCGGTTGTGCCATAGTCAATCGAGAAAACAAGGTCATAGGAACAGGATATAATGGTGAGTTGCAATCACTTAGAACTGCCTTGCTTAGTCCTTTATGCTTTGCGGCAGTGTAATAGGGAAATTGGGAATTGGCATCCTAGGAGAATGCGCACGTTGTGATCGGCGCCGGCCGCTTTCATTTGAATGTTGGGGAGAACGCTCACTCTCCCAAACCGTCATATTGATAGCCAAACTCCTTCTTGACGCATTTTCTGCTGACATGTCGATTCGCCAGTTCTCCATCCTGCGTCGCAAAGTATGAACGGTACCCTCTATGTAAATGTTTCTTCAGGCTTCCCCGTAGGAATAAGTGATGACGATTTGCCTTGGGGGAAAAACAGTGATAATCCTGAAGAGAACAAGTATGCATATGTGGTTCATGCTGAAGTGAATGCCATTATCAACAAGAGTATGAATAACATCGAAGGTTGCACGATGTACACAACGATGTTGCCGTGCAACGAGTGCGCCAAAATGATCATACAGGTGTGTTCAAATTACCATTAACGTTGAACTCCTTTCTTCCTTCTGAACTTCTTTACTTCATGTATTTCGGGGAATGAGCTGTTCAATGCGTGCGGTTTAGTCCCTCGTCCTCTGCAGATGCTGGGGGTATAAGGGTGGCTAGACGCCAGAATGCTTTCCAGCAATTCCACGACTGGTGGGGAAGGCTCGCACCAAACTCAGCCCCACTCCCTCTAACACGCCGCAGCGTCCGTAGAGAATAAGACTGTAGTCGTGCCTTCCATATGACGGATATAGGATGCGAGTTCCTCATTTGAACATTTTGTGAGGTCCATATTTTGTGGAATATTTTAAGTCTAGGCAATTCCCATCCTATCTTGTGCAAGACAAATACATGAATACAACTGTCCTCAAATGAAACTATCCTCCAGAAGCGCAGCCGCCGCCACACTTACAGGAAACACGCGGCCACGCTCTCTCCATCTTAGGCATAGTTCAAAAATCGAGCCAAATGTAGCCAATGGGTGCCAGGCCATCATGCCATCATGTATGTATGTGTGCTACATCATGTTTTGGCTTGTCTTTTTACGCCTTTTCGTAAACTTAGGGCAGTTATATACGCCGCTTTCCGGTGAGATAATGCAGACAACAGATATGGCGTGGCACAGCATGGCACGACCATCTACCTTAGCCTCGGATTTTATCGCATTGACGAGCAATATTTCAGTCTCATATCGCTGAAGTGGTGTATCTTCGAGATCGTCCTCTTGGTAAATGGCAATATGATGCTGCTAGGAAAATGTTTGCTCTTGCCGGTATAAAATGTCGCCAATTCACTACGAATTTAGAGTCAATAACCATAAATCTAAGTTAATTACCATTAGGTCTCAATTCTTTTCCATTTAAACTGGTAAGAAGTGATTTCAGCGGATATTTATATTTATCGTCTTCTGATGGGTGCCCTTTTCATTTGATGTATATTATTATTAATTGTTAGCTTGAAGCTTTTATTATGTATTGTTGATGACTTCCTATGAAGAAATACGACGGTGAAGTAAACTCTTATCATGCATCTTGTGAACAACCACCGACAGTTTATTTTAAAAATTATTTTTATGTACATTTCAATCGAGGAATTTAAACTCAGGAGCTGTTGTCAAGAACAGCACACACATGCACAAAATTATCAGGATACGCAAAATTCTTGCCTAAATAAATCAGAGGTGTTTCCAGTGGCAAAGTGATACCGTGAGATATAAATCGATATTTCCCGTTTTCCACAAGATCAGATGAAAGTGAAGTTAGTGCGTGTGAAAGAAGTCGAGGCTCGCCATTCTCGTCGAAGGGTGGTTGCGGTATCTAAAATATCGTATTTTATCCATTCCCGAGTCCTTAGAGGCACACTGCGCCCGATCGTCTGGGTTGAGCAGGGACTCTGCCCTTCCCTCGAAGCGTGCTGCACCTCCTTGTCATTCCAAGAATTCCATCTCAAAATTCCACCCCTTCAAGAGAAAGGGGCAATACGGCTCTGTGGGGAGGGGTACTCAACGAAGCTTTCACAGGTAGCTTGTTAAAATCTGTGAATGAATTCTTGTTACTGGGCTGTGTTCATACTTTGCGTCAGCGCCACCAGCGTTTCTAGTGTAGGCCACGTTAGCGAGCAGGAAACATAGATATCGATCCAGGGAACGCCACAGCGTCCACCAGCGACTAGGAAAGTATGGATATTGAACTAGCGAACGCCAGCGTCCACCAGCCTACTGCAGCGATCGCTAGATCGATATCCATAGTTTCCTAGTCACTGTGGACGCTAGCAGACGCGATGCAAAGTATGAAAACTTGTGAAAGTGCTGAATGCCCCTTCCAAGCCGAACAGCGCCTAGGAGAGGAGGAGCCCCTTTGCCCTAGTGACTCCGTACAACGGTACTGTACCCTGCGACGGGTATCTCGCATAATTTCATCATTTTTTCACGGATAATCAGCAATTTCATCCGTCCTCTCACATCATTCCAGATATGTCTTACGCGTCCAAAAACCATTTGACTACTCTAGTATATGAAAAAAAACGCCAAACAAGTTGTAAGGAACGCTGTGAAGAAAAAAAAACGACTGTGTGACTGCGCATGTATGTCACGCGGCCTGGGATGGGTAAAGACTTAGGCTGAGACGCTGAAAAACATACTTGACGGAATGGCTGTCCGGTGACGTAAAGGCGAATGGGAATGTCATGGAATGGCCGCTCTTCGGTACACTCCATGAGCCGTCGATTGATACTCCAGAAGTCATCAAAGCGATCTTGAAAAAGGGTGAAGCATTGGAATCTGCTCAAGTCAGATCTGCTCAAGCCACTTACCGTGAATAAGTCCTGACCAGAGTTGCTTATGTTCGTCAATTTTCATGGTACTAATTATCTAAATAACACTTGCTTTATACGCAGTTATCCAAAGAAGTAGACTTTGAGTACAGTTCCGCGCTCAAAAGTTTGTAGGCGTCTTTCCTTGTTCAAGTAGTTTCTCTAGATTCTCTGGATTTGTCCCTTTTTTGCGGCTTCGGCAATGAGTAACAAGAGCGCTGCGACTTTTACAAGTTTGCGCATCGCTGAGTTCACCTTGGGACGTCCACAATAAAAGCGCTTTTGGGGCAGTCTTCCTAGTAGATGGTGGGAGGGGGGCAGAGACATTCGAAGACTAACATGGGGGAACGGTTAGGACTCCACGAGAGGTCAGCCTGCCGCCGCCGCGGAGGTGCTCTCCGCGATGCTTTCGCTATGTATTTTTTGCATTTGCATAGTTCATGAGATTTCCAACCGTCTGCTTTATACTTGCAGGTGTGAAGGCTATGAAAGGAATGGGCCCGATATTCAACTACTAGTATAAAACAACGCCCATTAACATAGAAATAATATTTAGAGAATACATCAGCAATCTACGAAAATTCTTTTCAGGGTGAATCCTTCTTTTGGCCTCAATTGTAAGATATTGTAAGGTTTAAGATTCTCGGCCAGACGGTAAAAGTAGGTCCTATTGAAGAAATACAGCAACCCGTCGAATAAGTACAGCTGCCATTCAAAAATACTGTCGTCCCATTGAATATTCTGGTTTGGAAAAATCCCAAGCAGATTCGCGTGATGCCAGAACTATGTGAAGGGACCGGGATCTTAATCGCACGACCATGTTGCTCTCGTAAAATCAGTTGCAATCGCCGCGCGCGGCGAGGCGAGACATGGCAGCCGTGACCTCTCGTGGAGTCCTAACCTACACCCCTAACATGGCAGAACAGGGACTACCGTACTGCGAAACATTTTGCGCAAACATGCTGGTCCACCCTTCCCGGAACACCTTCCCTTCGCTTGGTAATTCATCCATTATCCATGTTTAGCACAAAGAGCCCCTCAACGGAAATCTTTTTTACAGTACGGGTTCTTCTTATTTTCACTTTTATTCGTGAGGCGTGTCAAAGCTGGATTTGCCACGACGCCAGCCCGTTTTTTCCTCTCGGCTAGCGACAAGGCTGACACGCCCCCTGACACGCCCTTCCATCCGCAGCGAACAAGACTGTACAAGTGCCATTATGCGGAGCCTGTTACAATGGAAAGTCCTTAATACCGAATGCCAGTGTGTTCACACGATAAAAGGGCGAAAGAGCACTTATGAAAGCCTGACCTGATCTTTCGGACGTTTCAGGTAATTTGCTTCTTTCAAGGATTGCATGAACATCGCTTCCATTGTGTCTTTTGACACCAAAGATACTCCCTCCGGACGAGGAGTAGTTCTGAAATAGACAACTAAAAAACTGTCCACATTAAATCTAAGCAACTTACTTTATTAATACCGTTACTGTAGGCGTATCAGGAGACTTATACAAATCAAACAGTACACCAACGGGATAATAGGTCTTCAATGGAACGCCAGCACATTCTAGCCACACTTTGTCCGCTTCTAATTTCACACTTTCCTCACGAGCTCTGACTTGTTCGAGTATCTGAAAAACTGGATATGAGAACGCTGATGTAGGTGGGGGAGGAGAGGGAGCGGGGCTACTCGTCAGCGTCTCCCTATCCCTTCCTTAGGTTGAGTTCACCATAGCGGAAACTAGTTCTTCTCTGCAGGGACTATCCCTAGGCGACTCTGGTCGTCTGAGCTCCAAGGCAGCGTTCAGACTTCGCGATGAGGCGACCTGACGCACGACGATGCGCTGTAACGTTTGTCAACGCGCTACATTTGCAACAGGGCTCCAATTCTATAGATGCGAATGCGGCTGCAGACAGGAATCAATCGACGCCCGCTGCTCGTGAATTGAAAGAGTATAGGAGGAACCAGGAGGCGCTCTTTAGAACTGCTTGGCAACATGCCTCAATAGGCGCGCAGCGCGTCGACGCGCGTCTTCGCAAAATTTGAATGCTGCTGAGCATGAGCCTTTCCTGAGATGAGAAACAGAGAAGTGGCCGAGTGATTCCTCCTCCCCCCTCCCCGAACTATGTTAGCGGAGACATGAGTACTTGTCAGCTAAAGTTGAAGCAATACCTACCCTAGTAAGGTGAAGACAGAAATAACTGCATCGTGGAAGCATAGCATAACATGGCCGGCACGTGTCACCAGAGTCATCATCACGCTCCACTTGGAATTCGATAGGTACTGCCGCTTCCCATATTTTACGAGATACCTCGTAGTCAAACTCCCCAGCCATCCACTATCCAGCAAAATGTACACTTGACTCAGATTGGTGGCAATTCCTGACAAATCTGAAATGCAAATGAAATTCAAAACAACGGCACCCACCATACAAAAAACAGCGGCGATGTTTACGAGGCTTGCTTATCACCGTTACAATCAATTTATTTGCTTTGGGGCAGATATTCACCGTAGGGTTATGGAATCAAGCACGCTTTTATTATTGCACTAAGAGATGAATTACTCGTTGTGTGTATTTATCAGGCCAATGCAAATGTGGGAGAGATACGACCCTCCTGCAAATTCTCCCTCCCTCCGATGTTCTACCCGATTCTTCCAAATCACTTCGCTGTCGAGTGGGCAGGCGGAGAGGGAAGGCAGCTGCTGTCAATCACCAGAAATAGTGGTTTTGCGGTGCAGCCAATCAGGGGCTGTAGGTTCACTCCATATCTTAGAGTTATATGTGGATGTCCAAGTGTTGTTGCAGCAGGGCAAGCCGTACCTTGAGATCCCAGCGAGGGACGGGCTCGCTGGGAAAGATCGTATGTGCTTCTGAGAAGGGTTCAGGATATTTTTGATTAAGCAAGATGCTAAGTAGGAGGGGACGGATAAGTGAGAGTGGGGGGGGGAAGGTTCCATAGGAGGAAATCCTGGGGAAGGGTGATCGTCGGGAGGGCGATAATTAGCAAAATTTCCTCTGACGGCAGGATATGCCCCGGTTGCCAGGGCACATCATGAGAAAAAGTGGTATTTCTGCATTTCTCCTCCCTATACCGTTGCCCGGCGGACCACCCCTTCAATTTAAACATCAAACTTCACCCATTACTCACTGCAACGTTTCACATCGAACTTCCTCCGCAATAGCTTTCCAAACTCAAAGTTCTAACTTCCCTCACTTATGCAATGACTTCTAATTACTCAATAAAAAACGCTTCGAAAGCCGGGTAAATAATAAGAATTTCGTCTCAGTTCAGCTTGGTGGGGGCACGGAATGGTACTCAGGAAAGCTTGTACAGGTCACTTTATGAGCACCTTTAAACTCTTGCGACCAAAAGGGGTCAATCCACAAGCTGGCAGCTTCACAGAAGTTTACAGTAAGGTGATAACACATGCCCCTCCATGCCGATCAGCGCAAAACTTCAGTTCTTTAATAATATGTTCACACTCTCACATTCACACAGATCCTGAAGAGCAAGCCAAACACGATTGTCCCAGTCTCTTCACCACGACAGCGCACGTTAAAGCGGCATTCATACTTTGCGATGAGACTGTCGGACGAGGAATGTAGGGGTATCGATCTGGGATTGAAGAGAATCGGGGAGAGGGTACAACATCGTGACGTGTGAAATGGTAGTGTAGGTATGACCCCCCCCCTCCGAGACAGGGTCTTTCTACGACCTCCCCCCTTCCCCAGCGGAAAAGTGCGACCCCCGTGTGTTCCACACAACGATGCTCAACCCGCATCGGGGATGCGGTGAACAGGCGATTTAGGGTGATTGAGGGCCAAAGGAATGGATGAGTATCGATTGGCGCCAGATCTCCGAAATCGTAAGCAGAGGGCGTTAAATATGAACATGACATAAGTACTCCGGATGAAGAAATATCCTGGCAGGCACCTTCAGAGCAATTTTACCGGAAAGTCACTGACACGCTGCAGATCCGGCATTTATAGCTCACAAAGCAACTACAGCGTCTCACCGGTTCCAAACTGAATTCGCTTCGTTGCAGAGCTGCAGAAAATGAAATCTGTATTGTAAATGGTTGAGAACCTCGCAAATGTCACACACGGATAAGAGCTAGCTTTATATAAGATCGTTTAACTAGAACTGTATCGACAATATCGAGGTGATTCCCGGAGTAAAAACCTAGAATAGATCCAGGATTTCTAAACCATGATTTATCACATATGGCTATGCGACATTTCCGCAACACTGATGCACAACAAGAACAATAATAACAACAGAATAAATAGAAAACTATTACACGAAATTGTAGTCACCAAAAAGGGCGTTGAACTCGTCGTCACCTACAGAGCTATGTAAATCAAGTTCAGAATTAAGCGAATGATTGTTATGAAGAGTAGTTTCCGAGATCGAAGGGTCCTGCACAGCAGAGGAATTCGGCTGGTGAATGAGATCGTCATGCGGGAAACCGAGGGTGGAACCGTGTTCGACAAGATGTTCAGCATAGGGAGAATCGAAAGAAAGTGGTCCATCCATTTCATGGAAATGTTCGGACGAAACTGGCACGTTCGGGTGGAGAGGGGGCGCTTGCACAGGAGGTTGTGACTGAGTTTGTTGCATAGCTTCAAACGACTCTTGCATTCTTTTGAGTCGATTCTCGTGCCGCACTGCTGCCACACTTGCAATTCTATTGCGTACCTAAATTTGCTCAGTTTATAGAAGAAACGTTGGATAGGTCAAAAATCGCTGCTTAACCTTTTCCTGAACAAAAGCATTCAGTCGTTCCTCCTCAGCCAATGTTGTATCAATTTCTGGAGCTGCTGGGCTAGAAGTAGTTGGACCATCTTCTCCTTCATACCACTCCTTGTCTCCCGCAGGGATCCTCTTCCATCATTCGTAGCTTTCAGCTGACGTACTTGCCGGCTCTTCAGTTTCATTTCCACGCTCTGCCAAGTTTTTCTGCAACAACAGGGCTAATTTTCGAGGGAACAGCTCAGCTATATTGAGGATGAGCGTCCGACAAAGAAAAAAAAACACTACTTACCAATATATCTTCAACTCGTTTCCGCAGTTCCTGCTTCGAATGGGCTATCCTTGAACGCTTTGGTGGTGGAATTGTTGAAGGGGTAGAACCACCCATAGCGTCCAGCATAGTATCTATGTCGCACTTCGACCGCATCACAGCCACGGCGCGCTGGAATAGAGGAAACATGGACATTTTTAGATTTTTAGACGCAGTTTGGGAGGAGGGGGGGAGGGCATTTCGCCCTTTCGCTACTTGTCGACGACGTGAGGAGCCATCAAGTGGATACCTATGAAAACTAGTGAAGCAGAGAAGACCCGAAGGGCAGAGATAGGTGAATCTCCTCCACGGAATGCACCAAAACGTTCTCGCATAAAGGATTAGTTCCCCTTGCATCAACTAAGGCCGCGTTATACTTCAGGCCGCATTATACTTGTGACTCGAGCGATTCATTCACGCAACTGCGACTGACCGCGCTCCACCGCTAAAAGTTGGACGCTGCGAAAGTGAAAAATCATGACTGGGCTTAGCACTTAAAGGAGTCCAACTATTAGCGCGCGGTCGATCTGAATGGTTCCAGTTGCAAAGTATGAACGCAGCCTAACCTACTGGACTGCGGACCTCTGCTTACACTTGCACTAACACCTAGTGAAATAACAAAAATTCAGTCACAAGACAACGAAAATTACCGTCAAGTCTGTAGATAATACACTGAGCTTTCTTTTGATGGGAGTAACGTCGAGGTTGAACAGATAGTCCAAAGAGGCACGATACTCAGCAAGTGTGAAATTTCTGAAACTTACATATTTCACAGAGAACGAAATGAAAACTTCTGAGGAAGGGAAAAACTTACCCTGGACATCTGGTTCGTGGCAGCTTCTCCCTATGCAACTTCTTCACCACACCAGCCATTCTACTCACAAGTTCCTCGTCCTTAATAAGAACCATTGGTGAAACATAGGCTAGAACACTCTATGAAAGCCAAAATTAACTGAGTTTGTACCTCTAGACGGCTTATATCCACACCAGTGTAATGAAGCTGATCACATATAAGTTTGGCAAGAGAGCTTCCAGCGTTTTCCTCACTGGCGTCGCTTGAAGAAAAATTTGAAACAGAATCTGTCTCCGCTGATCTATGAGTTCCACCTAAAAGTCATTGTGATTATGGAACAGACAAATTCTATCAATACCGCTTCTATTAGAATTACATGGAAAACTTACCGCTGCCCGACGCTCCACTTGAATGTGATGACACTATCCTTCCTGTTTTCGATCTGCCAACGGAGTCTCCCCAAACAGACGTTTCAGGGCCCTGAAATTTGGTTTCTTCAAGTAATGTGATATTCTCTGAGACCGTGTTTTAACAAACTCTAGGGGGCCTCAGTTCATCTTTCGCTCCCCACGCAGGCGAAAAGTATCGCGAAGCAATCTTTTCCGCCAATGAGTATGTAGAAAACGAAGAATGGAGCACTTCTTTGCTTTCCTCGCCTCCGAATTTATTTTACTACTGCATTAACATGGATGAAGTTTATCAGATTCTTTTGCCATACAGCCACTTAAACCAACGTGGTTTACATTACATAACGAAAGTTGATGCGAAACAAAGCCGAATTATAGGCGAAAGAAAGACATGACCTCAGGCAGAATTTGAACACGCAAGTGCCTGTTACACCTAAAGCGTCTGTTGCAGGGGAAAGTTTTGGAAAATATGACCCCCAATCACAAGAATTTCCTCCATTAGTACTACCGCTTGGAGATCTCCCAACGTTAAGGCTAGGAACAGGAAAAATCGACAATCAAAAAAACATCTTAAGCCAAGTACGACCACTCTTTCTCCTAGCGACCAAATACAACCCCCGTTGGTGAGCCGCAACATAGGACGTGCCTTGATTACCCCGGGCTATTTTCCACCCTCTCAGCCTAGCGGCTCTTATGAATGCAGATAAGTGATCGAACAATCTCCACAAAAACTGACCATTTTTAGCAGTTGGTCAACTGCAGCATTATCAGACGACACGGAAGAGCCTGAAGTAGTCGGCGAATTCGTCGGACATGCGGAATAGTCAGTGGTGTGATTTGACAATGACGTCTCAGCACGTGCACTACTTGCACGACTTCTTGACTGAAGTTCATCAGCAAACACTGTGGGATATAATCCCCTGAAACCGAGAGCATTTATTATGAGAACATCAAGCAAATACGGTAAAAATAAGAAAGCTAAAAAATGCTGTATGATGGGGTAAAAGAAAGTGACGCCGACTACAGTTTTTCTCCACACTTATAACTGATTGTGTGTTCATGTTCTCAATGCATTGTAGGAAATAAAGTGAAAAAATGCCTGAAAATGTTAACTTACCAATATTTCTTAGGCAGACGTCGAATCTCCGGTTTAGGGATTATTCCATCCTCTTTCTGAATGGCTGAGCGCTTTAGGAAGAAAATTTTATGAGGCAAACCCATCGGAAAGAAGCACTTCTGAAAAAGATACGTTAAAGATTGCGATACAGAGCAATACTTAGGCTTGTCCGCAAAATTCTGGGACATCTTTTTTTCGAATGCATCAGATTTTTTCCGCAGCCATTTCGAGATCCAGTTATGTGGTCTATGGGAAGTGTGTGAGGTAAGCATTCCACAGCTTCTTCACCGTCCCTCGCAGTCGCTGTTCTCATATGAAAAACGGTAATTGAAATTCATCATTTTCGACACACTTCGCTATATGGATCTCTACAACGTGGTTCGAGCCATAAGCGGCATTTCCCTTATTTAGATCTTGATGTTAGCTTCCACAGTACGGCTTTGGAATGGCTCAATTGCTTCTGCTTTAGTGACTTCTATCCGGGTGAAAAACTTCGTCCAAGGAGGCCACCTGCCTTGGATTTGGACCTACTGTGTTCCTTGATTAAAACCAATACGTACAAATCAACTTGCTATCTAGTCCTTACACTTGACTGGTCCCAAAGCACAAATGAGAGAAGGCCTCGCTCCCTTAGAAAAGTTCTGAAGTTCGGTCAAAATTTTTCTCATGAGTTGACCAGTACTCCAAGGGGAGCACATGTGGGTACTGTCTACAACTTCTCTCCCTCTTCCGCTGTACAGGCTGGTTGAACAGCACTGTAACTGGATATGGAGTGGGTGCCTCTAGTTGAATCACTCCTGGGAGCGCCACCGGCTAGATCCCCCAGAAAGGGCAGAACCGATCGCGCAATCCTATCAATCCAGTAGGGCGGTGAGGCTGTGTATGTGGTGGGGTACCCTTCTCCGCTCTCGAAACGGAATTCCCTCCTTCCAACGCTATGGTAACCAGGGTGCCCTATTGTAATCAACTGCAAAGTGGGGTGGAAAATCTCTACCATTTGGTCCCAAAACCGAGCAATGTTTGCCTACTCCACCACACCTCAGGGTCAAACATTTGGAAAACGACACTGCTCGAGATCCCGAAGCTTAGCTGGGGAATTCCACCACAGTCTTCGTGTAGCCCTGACTTAGCTCTTTCCGATCGCCATCTAAACTAATCCCACAGCGGCCATCTTCTTGGTAAAAAAATACGATTTTTGATAGTACCTCGAAAATGACCCAGCTGCCTTTCTGGCCACAGAACTAAGAGGCTTCTGGAAGCAGGGCAACCACACATTGCGTAGTGATTGGCAACAAGTTGCCAATGAAGGTGACATACATATAGCTGATCAAAATTGCTTCCCACTGGAATAAACTTAATTCGGAAAAAAGTCTGAAAGTGTCCCAGAACTTTTGGGACAACCTAATATATAACGGAGGCTCAAAGGACTGGGAAAATTATAGCTTAACTAAGCAACGTACCTGCTTCTTCATATTTCTGCACGCCCACAAAAGACGTTGCTCACCCGTATTAGCATCAGTTTCTAGCATTATAGGCTCTCTAACGGAGCATCACAGTAACAACACGAGAGCATCTCCCTCTCAATCTGAATACGAACGTTTCTTGGCTTATTCATGACTCACAACAAAACATAAGAAAAGTAGGCGTTTAGAATCATTAGATGACTACTAATTCTCTACACAGACACATCAGAAAACACCGTTTATAATCTTAGTAAAGATAACAAATAAGAAATGATTAGGTTTGACTACACTGCTTGTGATCATTCTCAGTGAACACAGTAGTTGGACCAGATAATCTTAGTTGCCCAATGAGTTTTAGCCCTGTTATAGAAAATAACCAGCAAATAATTTAAAGACGACCCTGCGCTCGAGCAATCAAAAGGGTCCTTCCTTGTACAAGTAGTCGGGCTCTCAGTCTCTGAGACTGTTTTCCACTTTCGCGGCTTTACAGGAAGCAACGAAGGCGCTGTGGCCCTCATAAGGGACTGTTCTGAGGCTTCCCGTGTTGTACTGCTCACCAGATATTGCTTTGCTGGCATGAAACGAACAGGTTGAGGATCTCGTACAATGAGGCTGCCAGGATGCCCTTATAATAGCCGTGCATCGACGCTCTTTCGCTATTTATTTTTGGTTCCTGAAGAGTTTAGCCGCTAAAAGTTGTAACTGAACGTCACTATCCCCAATATGCATTCGCGGGGTTGTTGGTGTTTAGGCTAGCCATATCCTTTTATCTAGCGATATGAGCAGGCAAACAGAACAGAAAGGAATTTCCCTGCTAGTTTTCTCCCAGAAAACTAGTTGCACCACTCTAAATCTGTTAGGACAGAGATCGAGGAAATCTAAGCCTCTCTTAGAAGAGGTCTCTTGAAAAGTTGGGATACCCAGAAGAGAATACAACAAATCTGGAAAATGACACAAGGGGGGGGGCTCAACCAGCGGGCGCTGTATTTTGACGATCTCACGTTCTGGCACGGAAGTTTGCTCTAGCAGTGGATCTATTCAGATACATAGGGAGAAGCAACTAAAGCATACCAATAATTAGCAACCTTTTCCCCCCGAAGAACTTCATGGATGTTACGTGCTCCTTCCCTATGTTTTCTTATCAGCCACTTTCAACGTAAGGCACACCTTATGGTGTAAATGAATAAACGAATAAACAATAATTGAATTATTGAGTCTTAACATAACAACGACCTGGTAAATTCAGCGGTAAATGATAAAATGAAGTAATTATGTGAGAACTCACATATTCCCCCGGATAAGCCTAGCCGAAAACGGCTCATCTAATACAGGCATGATGCGCGTTTTGTGCTCTAATGACCACATCTATGCTTCATGGCCAGCACCAGTAATCTCAGACAGAAAATCTTGCTAGATGTAATCTCGAGATCTCAAATCGACTTAATCAGCCTTCCACTCTCCGGGACGATGAATTTGGGGTGAATTGTCTGGAAGCATAGGATCACCGACTTGCACATCGGCTGGCCATCAACATCGCATTCAACAAGCACTGCTGGTGTTGTTTTTCTATTCTACAATTCTGAATCGAACAAGAATGCGTGCCGCATCCCAAATCAACGGCGAAGACTATTCTTTTATCACAAGAAACTGCTTATTCATATACTTTGAAAAAGATACTAACAGCCTCTTCTCGATGCATAGCCAAATCGGCGCTGAACACATCTTCGTTTCGATCACTCCGCGGGCTGCGTTGCAACATATTGCACTGAACCGTTCAATTTTCTCGCTGGAAACAACGCCATATTTGTCAGATAGCCTCACAATTGCTCAGCGATCTTTATATGAAATCGCATCATCGCTGTGTGGCACCGATAGAGCGGATCTTCATCGGCGCACAATTCGGCACTCAGTTCATATTGTTCAGCAATGGGGGAGCTTATTCCAGAACCTCCCACCTCTTACAACATTTTGGTTGCTACATTATTTATAAGAACAAAAAAAAAAGAAAAAACCGTACCTGACGCTTCTTTGCGGCATTTAGATTCAACCCAGGAACAGTCATAACACTCCAACAGGTTGGTTACCACTGTAAATAACGAATCTGTAGCAAAATTAACTTAATCGAACTGACACAATCAATAATGAAAACTCCTCTCAACACTTCCCGAGCCAGGTGAAAACAGATCAAAGTTTTAGCAACTGCTGAGCTGAGGGTTTACTGCGCTTTTGTGAACCGGAGATGTTTTCTCATCTCACCTTCTGGATGAATCCCACCTTTTAGATGAACATTAGAAAGCGAAGATAAGGAAGATGAAAGACGCAAGGAACTGAGGGAACTGAGAGCAACAAGGAAGGAGGACGAAAAAGGGGAGGATGGAGGTTTCTCAACTGGCAGATTTCCGATTCCGCGAATAAGAGCCTCAGGAAACCTCTGAAGAAGCCCTGATGCTTCTTGCAGCTTCGAAAAATCTGATATCCCTGAGGAACCACGAAAAAAAACCAGTGTACAAACTATACAAACAAAAATCGCGAATTATGATAGTCGCGCCCGGGCAAATACTCCGATCTGCAATATTTTATTACAGGCCAAATCCTTACAAAAGAACCCAGCGACCAAAAAATAATATCGGCAACTTTCAGAAATGTAAAATCTTTGGCTTTCGAAACCTCTCGCAAAAATGTTTGCGTTGTGGGACCTACCACCAGCGCTGACGCGTGCCCCTATAACAAGCGACTGGCACGAGATCGATCACACAAAGTGACTGAGGCTGCCGCAAGGAGCACAAGCAACTAATTGGTGGCAGTAGAACAATCTCAGGAACTAAAGCTGCCTCAACTAACACAACAGTCAAGTATCAGGCACAGATACTGCAGGCAGAATCCCAATCGTTTTTTCACAGAAATCGATAACCCGATGACTTTAACTCGCTGATGATTTAGAAGTAACAACATTATTTGGTTACATACATACACTTTCTCCAGATCCCTTCATAATGAACAATTGTAAAAATACTTATGAAAAGGCTTAATATTTATTAACCCTAGAGATCACATCAAAACAGCAATTCAAAAAAGCACAGACAATCAGAATACAAGTAGTGGCTTCACTGAAATGACCTGAAATTGAAGCACTCGTCCAATATAATGAGCCAAGTTTTATAAATGCACTCGTCCACAATTCATCGTCTATCGTTTTAACGTCGAAATATACAGAACATTGTTTCCACGGATAAACGCATCGCCATACTTGCTTTGCAGCTGGCCATTATTGTACTCCTCCGTCTGCTCCAGTGCAATGTTCATGAACCTGAACAAAGGACTCATTTAACATCTCTTGTCGACTGTTTGTGTAAACATCTGGCAATGACGGCATTCGTCCTTCAGCGCGCCAAGCGATATACAACACAGACTTCGAACCAGTTTTATGCTGAAATTTTTGCTGTGTATAGTTCCAATGTGTACAGTTCATATCCCAAAGTTGGAGTGGGCATGGCTGCGTACTTCCTCCAAATATGGCGTAGCACGCGTCTTGCATCGGATATTTCCTAGCGCCACCTGCCTTCCTGTCTGATATCAGACAAAGACGTGATTAAAATTGTCCCAAAACGACCATATTTCACTAGAAGCGCAGTCGCGGCAACGTCCACATGGAGCACATAACCACGCCCTCTCCATCTCCGGTATATGACTGTACTTGGCACCAAACAGTTCGATTCTTTGAAAAAAACATTCTGCACACATAACAGAAGGTGCGACTTATTATACATAAGTGATTCACCACTAGCTTTGATTTGTTCGCTGTTAAATTTTGTTGCCTACTCAAAAGTTGCCCGCAAAACTTACCGCGGATTGTTGCTCATGAGTTACAGGCACTGTTTCAACCAAGTTCTAAGCCCAACTTCACTTCAAGGGAGTTACAAGCCTTTTCAGAAGTTTATGACCTTTGTTGTTTTTTCTCCGCAAACTGAAATGCTGCTAGGAAAAATGGCCTATCAAGAGTTTTCCAGGATCTACGGAGGTGACCTCGCCAAAATGTCAACCGGAAAAGATCGTTGAAAGTCTTGGCTTGGAGCTTAACAAAACCTCAGACAGGAAATAGACATTATGAACTGAGGATCGCCGTATGCACGCGCCTCCGGATCATTTCAAGTTTTTTATTAGTAATTCGTCAAAAATTTTCCACCTCTCTCAATCGCTTATAAGGTAATCATATTCCGTAACCGAGTTTCGAGAACATTGGAACATGAAAGAAAAGACAAATCATCTCGATGAAACACCGCCTATAGACGAAATCACGACACACCAGGTGTGTCGCGCGGTCCGGAACGTGTTAATCGACCCTTCGTTTCTAGTGTTCACTGCATCTTCGTCCCCCCCCCCTCGCTACGGTTTTTTGAGGAAACTGGAAAATAACGGCAAATGTAGGTGAGTAGGGAAATAAATGTAGGTGAATGTGAACTTTTCACTTGAAGGGGCCGTGTCATACGTCTGCTGTGGTGGAATGGGCTGAGAATTGGGCCCAACAAGCAAATTCATTCATGGTCATGGCGCTTCCTGAAAGGGTCAGGTACTTTACTTTCAAATCAAAATTTGCTAACGCAAGCCTTGAATATGAGTTTCGGTAATAGTCCCTTTGCTTATAACTAACGGTAAATTGTAACTCAGCACCGTACTTCTCTTCAGGCCAGCAACAGGCTAATTCTAAGCACTGTTTATAGTATATTTGATGCAAAACTAAGTAGAGCGTCTAAACATGTTAGCACACACTCTCTCCTGGATGGGAAGGGAACGGCTACGTTTTTCACTTGAACATGGTGTAGAATGCAGTTTCTGCGGGACAAGTCAATTTGAGACAACTGTCAACCTGTCTTGTGCTGGACAAATACATGATTGCAATTTTCCCCAAAACTGCAATATCCCATCAACACCGCAGCTGCCATTACGTTCAAATGAAGCACGCAGCTACATCATCTCTCTGGGATATGAAGAGTGCTTAATGTATACATCGCTTCCTGCCCCAGTTAAAACTTGATTTTGTTTCTTTTTTTCCACAATTTGTTTACGAG